GAGTCCTGCAAGTGGAAGCGAACGCGCCACCCCTCGGGCGCCCATCGGGGCGCCCTATGTGGTAGCCCGCTGGGGATGGCGCGGCACTGGCCATTCCTCTACTTCGCGACGCGCGTCCCCGTTGTGGTTGCGTTCGAATGTCGCGAGGAGCAAGCCCGCCCGGCCTCGGAAACTGCTCCGACCGCCCAATGCCCTCCAAAGATGCAAGGTCTCTGCACGGGGGCCCCAGCCCCCGTGCTCGGACCTTGTTTGTCATGCAGCCTTTCCATGAAGACCCATGAGGTCTGGAATGCAGGACCTAGCATGACAGGTTTCGCTCAAATTCAACATCACAACGAATTCGGGAAGATCGTCATGGTACTATCAAATGTAAAAGTGTCTGGGTCTGGAAGAAAGAATGCAACCTGTCATGCTAAATCTGAAGCATGCAAAAATCTGTGTTGCATGATTACCAAATAACGTCGTCCAGTTTTGACCAAGTCGGGAGGGAGTTTCTCATGCAGGATAGGCATGAGAGAGATCACACAGAATCTGGCATGCTACGCCCTGCATTCCAGACCTCATGGGTCATGGAAAAGCTGCATGACGAATCGCGCATTCTTCCAGACCCAGACATATTTACATTTGATACTGTTTAAAACCCGGCGGACACTTTTACACGGCCTTGGACCACCCGGAAAGCGACGCGTTTCGGAAGCCGGCACCCAACCAGCAGGCCGTATCAAAGTGCACCGACAAGCCCGGCGCACGCGGGTGCGCTGGGCTATTCTCAACAAAGAAAAGGACGGACCAGCGCGCCACCCCTAGCGCCCACCGTCGCCCGCCCGGGCGGGCGCGCCCCCTCCGTGTGGCCTGCCGGCCTTTTTGGGGCATCAGGCGGGCCCGGCGTTCTTTTCGGCATTGGCGGCGCGGGGCCAGCTTCTCGCCAGTGATCGGGCGGATTGATTAGTGGCGGGCGCGTTCTGCTTTTTCTAGGTATAACGAAAAAGCAGCGAAGGCGGCACCCAAAACAGTCCGCGCCCGGTCTAAATCTCGACAATAGGCAGTTTTGGCTGGAGCGGCCAATTGTCCGGATTCAGATCGTGTTTTGATTTCAAAGCAAAGCGGCTGGGGTTCCTGGCATATTTCGCGAAAAACAGTACGAAGAGGCACAGAAAGCGTCGCGCCGTGCCATAGCTTGTCCTCCTGTTGCTGGTTTCAAAGTTGGGCGCGTCACAGGTGCGCTCACAGAACAGCTCACTTTGAAGCCGTCGCGACCCTCTCGAATATGGGTCGCGCAAGTCTTTGGCAACTTGGTTGCAAGTTTCGATCTCCATAAAATTGGGGGTCCGTTCCACCAGTAAACAACGAGTTCGGGAAGATCGTCATGGTACTATAGAGCAAATTCGATGTTGTTCGTCCCGGTTCATTCTTCCGCAAAAATTTTTTACTCATACTCAGTGCGCGGCTTTGGTTCCGAAAATCTAAGTCGCTTCAACTTTTGATGTTAAATGTCTCAATTTTTGAATTTTTCTCACAGTCTGCATCTTCAAAATCGATCTTCATACGAACCGAACTGACGAAAGCATAGCTCTCTTTCTTGTATCTTTTATCTAAACACGACTCTACGTACATTTTTACATATCAAAATCATGTCCCGGCCAATTTTTAAAAATATTCTGCACCTCTTGGCACAACTAGGTGGCTGTGGTCAGATCTTTTCCTATCTGTTATCATGAGCAAAAATCTCCCCCCCCCATATCGAAAACGAAATTTGTGATGTTGATTTGTGAACACAAATCTTGTCTTGCAGTAAAGGATTGCAGGCCTATATCGTGCCGGAGTCGAGAGGTTTTGGTCTAGGCGCTTAGCATGGGGAACGTCTATGCCGTAGGCCCAATAGCATTACACACCCCCTGCATAATGGGGCGGAGCCTGTGGCGTTGCTTTCTTGCATCACAGATGCGATTTGTGGTCACAAATCAGCATGACAAAGCTTCTTATCGATATGGGGAGGGGGGATTTTTCCTCGCAATACCTGGCTGTGCCAGGACTCGCTGCGGCGTCGTCGTCTTCGCGCCTGGGGGGATATGGACGGATCGGTCAAGACACTTTACGAAGGTAGTGCACACCTCCCCCTCCCGCTCATTTGTAATGCAAAAACCCAAATCCATACCGTGGCCGTGCCTCTCCTGAGCACTGTCTGCATGACAAATTTCCGAAGCTCAAACAGTACTACAGTCCGCACGTAAAAAAATTTGTCTTTGTCATGCGGAAGCTTACATTTCTGCCGTTGCTTATGACATAAGCAACGGCAGAAATGTTGCTGCCCGTGCCCTACAAATGAGGAGGAGTCGTAGTTGTGCACTGAATACACTTGGCCGAACATTTATTCGTATTTACCTGGTCCGGAAAGTAGTCGACACCCTGAAAAGGAAGAGGAGATAAAGAAATTCGCTCAGAACGCGAAGCGGCATTACCTCGGAAGTGCGATGTTGAAACGAGCCGCCGCGCGGTGGTACGAACGCCACCACACGGCAGCTGGGTCTGCATTGGAAGCAGAAGATGGCACAACTTCTTATGGCATGCTCAAACATTACAATCTCAAGCGTTACAATAGAATCTGGAATTTGTATTGCATGAAGAGCATGAGGAACGCAGAGAGAATTGAGCTTTTCGCAATACAAATTTTCCCGGATTTCAGGTGGGTTTGGGACTCCGAAACTTGTCATGCGCAATTTCATGGGAGTAGGCTAGATCATGCAGTTCTTGCATCACAGATTTCCAGATTCTATTGTAACAGTTGAGATTGTAACAGCTGAGCAGGTTATACTTCTATGTCGAGAGAGGAGAAGAAAACTGCATCGCTGCGACAGGAAATGGAACACGCCCTTCGAAAAGAGCTGAGTATCCTAGTGACAATAAGTTCCCGTCCTATTAGTACTACTTTTTTGGCAGTAGAAAAAAGATTGTCTTGCTCCGAGCTACCGCTGCTCATGCAAGATGATGTTGAAACTGCTCATGATGCAAGATGATGCGGCTCTAATATATATGAACAAAGGTGCACCTCCACGGTGAGTGCGCTCGCGCTCCTAGATTGATAAAGATTCTCAAGCAAATAATAATAGAGAGAAGTCCTCCAAGTCGCTGAAGGTCCTTTAATTATTATATTTGTTGCAGCAAAGCTGCAAGGCTGCGTCTGCATCTTGCAGCTTGGGAAGGCAGACGCCACGAGTTCACAAGTTTTACATACTGGAACTGGTTTTCATTTGGATACGAAGCCGCAAGGTGTCTCTTGCCCCTACAAGAGTGCCACCGGTAGCAGCTGCGAACCAGGATTTTCACCAGGGCTTCTTGCATACTGAAGATGTGGCGAGACATCGCCTGCCGGCAAGTCAGCAACTTCTCCGTCTCGGCGGCTTCAAATGCTCTGCGAATCAGGCGGATGACCGCCTGAATCCGGAGGACCGTTACCGAGACCACATCCGGCCTCGGTATGCACGATCCGGCGAGGGGCACACTGTTCACCAATATTCCGAAACGTGGCTTTCGCAAGAACTTCTCGAGAAAAGCATTGATGAAAATTTCTCTGGTAAAAGCACCCAGAACTACACAGACCCAACGGATGTTGAGTATCAAGCAGGACGAAGAGCTTCTGCGTCGATTGAGGTGGACAGGACTACAGCAGGAACGACGCCTCCTGTGTTCCACCCTGGTGCCACATCTTCGACTAGAGGAACTACACGACACGACCAAGAACAGAACGACGCGCGGCTTTCCTTCCCTTCTCGTCCTACTAATGATCCCAGCTCGGTGTTGGAGGCAAGCTTTCCCAAATACTTACACTGGGTGCAAGCTTCCAACCAGGAGCGCGTGCCTGTAGATGAAGGTTCCGAGGCGCTGTCCCTCAGTGAAAGAACCAAGGAGCGCATGTTCGGAAGTAAAGAGACGCCGCTCGCTTCCTATTACCCAAAAGTCTTCATGCGCAAAACGGGTTTAGCTCTGGGGACCCTCGCGAAGCCAGATGAGGACCACCTGCGGTTGAGACACCTCCGGTCCCACGAGCGTGGCGACTCATCGCAGGACCACGTTTACACCACGGACTTTGACCTGGATAGTATCCCGGAGGCAAATAAAACGTACCCACCGGACCAGATCCAAGAATGTTGAAAATGCATGTTCAAACTGAGGCCGGCGCCCAAAGCATAACTATACAATCATCTTCACCTGTGGAGTGAAAAGATCTTGATAAAAGGTGTGGTGGTTTCGATTGGAGGTTTGGCATGACAAATTTTTCATCGTGAGACAGAGACGCTACTTCTGTGCATGTACATGATCCCAGAATTGCGTGCCAACACTGCACTACCGCATTGCGTTTAGCATGACAACTCTGCGTCTGAAGTGGGTTAGTTCTTTGACGGGATAGACAATGAAAACTTCATATCCCGGGTGAAATATGAAGGCCGTGGCCGCCGCGGGCGGTTGTCGCACGACGACCAGTGTTGGGAAGACATTTTTGCGGACCCTCGAGACCCCAATACATAGACGCACAAGCGTCCGTTACAGCCAGGAGTTCGCCATCTTGGAATCCCCCACGCTGATCACCCTGCTCAAGTGCACGGTCGAATGGAAAAATTTTTCGCGGGAGGAATTGAGGCGGATTCAAGCGGATTCTCGTTCCGATCTTGCTTCAGAACACAACCCTGACCCGAGACGCTGGAAACAGCAAGGCTGGACCTGTGGGGCGCAGATTTGCCATTGGGAAGATGGAAAACAGGACCGGTTTTTTATCAGATAAAGAACCGAGCATATAACTCCAATAGTATTTAAATTTATTCTCTTGTTGGCTGTTCATGACTGATGTGTTGCACGACCGTGATGTATGAGTGTGCGCTGTTTTCAGTAATGTGTGTGTATGATTTTTTACGATAAGTGCGCAAGTGCCACCCCTCGTATCTCTCTCGATGTCGTGATGTAGTCCATGTATGATTCTGATTTTAAGAAGTTAAAGTTATAGATACATACGTACGTCTCCTACAAAAATTAAAGATTTTGGATTCTCTCTTTGTCTCGTATTCGTAAGGCAGATTTTTTGGCTAAACAACGCGCACACCTAGAAGTGGAAGACGAGTTCTTGGTGGTCGTTATTTGTTATAACATCTAGCATTTTTTGAACCGGCCGGAAGACGTGTCGCAGAAAAAATGTATGCAAGGAGCCGGCGTGGTCGGATGGAAGTTTTACCCGACCACTTAAGACGTGGTCGGTCTAAGAACCTGCTCCACCGTGGAACAGGTTCTTAATACCCGACGTGTGTCTACAACTTTGCAAGAAGTTTTGACACCGCAACCGCTCCTGTCCGGAAATTATAAGCAGCACAAGATTCTATTTACAGTAAATGGCTCAGGACTAGAGCGGCCATGGATGAGGGCGTGGTACTTACTAATGGCGCTTGTTTTTGAATGCCAGTGGCAAGAGGCGACGCCAACGGCAAGCTCGCCACTGGTACTAGCCGCCGACTGCTAAAGCGGGCGGTGAAACTACGTCACTGGGGGCGCAGAAGCGTTGTCGACTACTAGTGCTGCAGAGCAATTTACTGCCTTGGACTTACCCTAGAGTATGCGGGAGACTATAACTCCGCTCACCTTTATAACCGCACGACGGCGCGTGCGCGTCATTCTATATATGAAGGGAAGTGGTATTGTAATCCTAGATACTATGTGGTGTCAAGAAGGCTTCTGATGTTCCTCGCCAGAGGATAGGGATGATTGTCGTCCATAGTCCTCGTCATCATGTGCACCCAGTGGTATCGCACTCTATTTTAGACATTTTTCTATTTCTTCTCAGCGGGTCCTCTCAGCGCCCACAGCTATTCCTATTTTGCGACTCAGTTCGCAAAAGTAAAAAATTCTTGGACGCCCCAAGCGCACCAAGCTGGTGGGGTCAAAAATTGTTGTATCGTGTTCCCGTGAGCGCCGCCGGGTAATATGTACTTTTTTGTATAATTTCCAAGTAAGTGTATAGTGTTTTTGCTTATTTATCGTGTACAAAGCGGCGGGTAATATGTACTTATTGGTGTCGAGAGCAGCGCAAGTAAGTGTAAGCGTTTCCTTGCTCGGTGCATCAAATTGAAAATAAGTTCAAGCGATCCTCTGTTACAAGCAAAATCAAAGCTCTTCGCATGCAGTGCTCAGTTCCAGCTCTGGTCAACACACTCACACCACGAAGATCCTCAGGAAAAAATAAAGCCTACAAGATCTTCAAGCGGCGGGGCCTGATCAACGTGTAGAAAATTTTGATCCCCGTGCAGATCGGATCTGCAAGTTCTTTTTCTGTCATTAATGAAAGACTCAAATTCCTCGATCCACCGTCCAGCGATCTGCCTTGCCATAGTTTTTCATATTCTTTTTGAAATCCAAATCCTACTGGCTTTGATGGTCGAGTCGACCGCGCTATTGATATATTGCTGTAACTACATCAACCTGTTCCTCGCTTCTAGAAGAGACGAGGGCACTTTATTACTACTTCTTATCTCGGATCACAATCACTTTCTCGCACTCGCTCAGATAGAAGATAGATTCTGTAGGTCTAGGCTTATCCTTTTTCTGGGCCCAAGTTCGCACCTGCAACCGCTCAACTTCCATTGAAATCTGTTCCATGATCCCACCTGTGACTATTCCTATTTCACAAAAAATCAATAAAACCCAGTATCGAAAATTTCCACAGTGTATGTGTTTGCAACAATGAATTAGTTTTAGCAAGTCCGTCCAACATAATTTTTTTGCTTCGCATTTCTCTATAAAGTAAGAGTACAGTGGAAATTATTCGTCACAGAATAAAATTATAAAAAATAAGTTTCGACAAGAAGCACGCAAGAGGAGGGTGAAGTAGAGTACATACAACAATGAGCGCCAGCCTCTTTTCATCAAGGACAAAATGGGGGCTTGTGCTGTTCCCGGTCTTTCTTGTGCCGCACCTCCTGCCACCTCCCGGAGGTCCTCTTTCTTGTGCCGCGTCTCCTGTTGTACCAGCCCGGTGGATTGCCACGGCGGACCTGCCAGCCGCTTTGGGTATTTCGATTCATGACTGGGACCGGCTGCCGGAAGTCGCTCGGGAAATCGCGAAAAACCTTGCGGGATCCGACCACGGCGCGTTGCGGCGATTCGCCTCTGCGGTTCGCACCGCTGCCGGGAGCGCCCACGTGGATGCGGGGGACGTGGTCGACAAGGTGAATCTCTCCCCGAAAGCCCTTCAGGCCTGGAATAGCCACTACCAGCAGATGAAAAAAAGTCTGTGCAGCTACCACGTAGCAGTTTCGACTTCTAGTGCGGATCTGGATACCAACATCCACGTGTGCAGCGGCAAATTGCCATTCGTGAAAAACTATGGGTTGCAAAAATGTCTGGGTCTGGAAGGTTGGAACTTGTAATGCTGTCTGCGGATTCTAAAAATATCTGTGTTGCATGAGCAGCAACAGGAGTCAGTTCTTGGCAAGCGCAGAGGGCATTTCTCATGCGTGATTAGCATCAAGAAGCTCTCAAAAAATCTGTGATGCTAGCACCAGCATCACAGACCTCACGGGTCATGCAAAATGTGCATCACAAGTCCCGATTCTTCCAGACCCAGACATTTTTACATGTGATAAAAACCGAAACCTCTTCCAAGACTGGTGGCGATGCTACGCGGCGCGGCGCCTCATCTACCCGTTGACGGGCCGGCACCTGCGGCCCGATCCAGCTCACGCGAACGTGATTGCTGTGGCGTGGCAGAGGGCATCCGAGTGCCTCGCAGCGGGGAAATTAATAGTCCCGGCTGGTGCGCAGCACATCAATGGTGCGCGGGATAGTTTCTTTTCGGCGTCGGAGGTCGTTGCAGAGTCTGGCCGCTCATCCTTTTCAGAGAAAGTGAGTGCTTCTATGGAAAACAAAAGGCGAGAAACCATCACACGACGACCAGAAAAAGAGGCTGCAGGAGCTCCGGCATTGCTCAATACGAAAGAGAACCGCTTCGAGATTTTACTGCAGAAAGAACACGAGGAAGACCACGGGGACCAGCACCAGAGGACGACTTCGCGTTTTTGCAGTACCAGCGAAAATGAGGGGACCGCGAGTGATGCCTTTGGTACGGCGGAAACAAGTAGGGATGGAGCTGTAGTTGGACGTCGCGTAAAAAAGCAGGCAAAAAGTGCAGAAAACCGAACGCGAAACGTGGTAAAAAGGACTGAGTCAGCAATGCCGCCGGGAAAATCAAGTAGAACGCCAATCATTGGTGCTCAACAGCAGGACGTGAGTGATGAAAAAAATGCCTTCAGCATCACCATCACAGGACGCGACGGCCAGCCCTTTTCTGATACAAAGAGTAGTGGTAGTCTTATCCAGTGCAAATATGTCTGGGTCTGGAAAAGTGGAGCTTGTGATGCATGTCTAGCATTCATCCTGAAAAATGATCTGTGTTGCAAAACGATAGCCAGCATCAAAGGCGTTACTTTATTGTCGTGCAAAGACGCAGTTTGTCTTTGTCATGCGTGCTACGTTTACGTATCAGACGGCGTCATAGACTTCTCATGCTTGGCTGCCCTTGAAATAAGTACCAGACCCATCCATGATACCTTCACATCACGAGTTTCCACACCTAGACCAGCACATATTTGCGATGCATAAGTCGTTTCAACAAAGACCTCAAAGAGTGGGTGCAGGGAGGGAAGTTGAAGGCGATGCCCAGCTGTCAGGCACTTTTTGCCAATAAGAGCGTATCAAAAGGAAAAATCCCCCATCCCACATCGACACGAAGTTTCTGATGCTGGATTTGCGTACACAAATTCAATCTATCTTGCGGTAAACAGGCGCAGCCTGACTCTCGTCCTGTTTGGAAGCGTAATCAATGGTGTGCCTGTTTATAGCATGGGAGAGGCCTCCTGCTCTAGAGGCCAGTCCGCATGACATAACGCCCGGTATACTTATTGTGGCCGCGCATATCCCGGCAATTGCCTTCTTGCGTGGCAGAAATGTTTCGTGGCCACAAATCTACTGCGTCGCAAATTTTCAGAAGGATGTCTTTTCAATCTGGGCCTGGGGAGGGGTGATTTTTCCTCACAATAAAGCACACGGGCTCGCGCGCACCTGTATCGGGCGTTGGGGCGTGACTGGCTGAGACGCCGGGGACCGCAGTTCCTGAATTACGAGCTTGAAGCGCTGCGGGAAATGACGCGTGCTGTGGCAGCATATGGCAGGGACGCGAAGAACTCCATTTCTCCCGCCCTGGTTAATGCAGAAGGACGGCTCAGCGACTTGGTGAAGACAATGCGCAAGGAACAAGTAGCCAGGCAGACAGCGTTCTTACGCCCTCGAAGTCATGCGCCCGTAGTTTCTCCTGAGGCCCAGCGTCAGGCTTCTCGCGAGTGGCGCGACAAGGTGATTTCGGAGATGGGTGCGGTGAAAGATGTCGTACGCGCATCGGAGCTTGCAGAAACGGAGGCGCAGAGCCGCATTAACGAAAATTGGAAGGCGTGGATGTATACACATGTCGAACAGCGGAAAACCGTTGCGGAGCAAAACACGTTTGCAATGCTATCTGAAGCTGGTATGGAAGCGTCAGGTTTGAAATCGTCAAAGTTGGAATAATTTGTGATGCATAAAATGCGACACAGAAAGTGACTCTATTGCAGAGGACCCACGGGAGGTAGATTATAGTCCTGGTAAGGGTCAAAAGTTGGACTGCTAACTAGCATGACAGAAGGCAGCTCTTTTGCCCTAAACCGCATGACAGACTCGCTTCCGGGACCGGGAAGATTTGTCATGCACCGACTACAAACTGTAGGTCTAACCGGTATGCGTTTTATGCATGACAAACTATTTCAACTTTGACGATTTCAAACCTGACACATCCATAGCTGGCCTTGAGCTTTTAGAGGAGCCGGAGCGGTACATGCAGGAAGGCGCGCTCGAGTATGTCGCTGTCATCGACCTACTGACAAAGAATCATAGCCGCCAAACTGTGCCTACCCCGGAGCAGCTGGTAGCAAATCTGGAGTTGGTGTGGCGTTTCTATTGGTTTTCCAGCGCGGCGCCATTGCACGCGCGACCTACCACGGGGCAGCCCCGCTTCCATGTTTTACAGTTGGAAGCGGCCGCGGCAACAGCCCTCGAAATTCAGACGCTGACTCAAGGCACTGCTTTTGATCCGCGGCTGGTCACTCTGCTTCGGGATTTCTTCGAGGCAGCCCAGATCGCTACGTATTTGGCGGAAGAAGCAGAGCTGGCCAGGTTCTTTGAATTTGACAAGACCTCCTCCGAAGCGACATTATCAAATGCAAAAATGTCTGGGTCTGGAAGGTGGCAGCTTGTCATGGTAAATCTGAAGCATGCAAAAATCTGTGTTGCATGAGTGCCAAAAGCTGTCCACTTTTGACCAACATGGAAGGGAGTTTCTCATGCAGGATAGGCATGGCAGAGACCTCGCAGATTCTGTCATGCTAAATCCCACATTCCATTTCGTTCTTTCCAGACCTCATGGGTTAAGGTTATGGAAAATCTGCTGCGTGACAAGTTTACACTTTTCCAGACCCAGACACTTTTGCACTTGATAGACAACATGGACGCGCGACGAAGTTTGGGAGGCGGCGCGCGGGATGCTGGACGATTGGTTTGGCCAGCAAGATACTGATACTGAGCATCCTGATACAAAAAAAGTAAATGTAGAAAATGGCGCTTCGTCGCATAATGATAATATGAAGCAACTGCGACGAGAGATGTTGCAGCGAGCTATCATCAGCGGCCAACGCAGTCGGAAGCAGCTGCCAAAAAGGAGAAAGAGACCAGAAGGGGAAACTTTATCTCGGGAGGACGTCGCAAAAATGGGAGCAGCTCCAAAAACTGTACCTACGCCACACGTCAACACCGCAACTCCTGTCGCGCCCCCCGTGGTAGAAGCAGAGAGGTGTGGCAGGAGCTTCTGCTGGACCCGATCCAGAAGGTCCTACCGCTTTCCGAATATCGGAGAACTACGCGAGCGGGGTGAAGCAGCGGGCCTGGTGAGTAGGGGCGCATGCGCCACGAGGACTGGCGCCGCTGACCCTGCAGCTAAGGCAATAGCAACGCGTCTTCTTGCTAGAGCCCTCGAAGCTGTGTGGATGCGAGTGCGCTTGGAGGAACGCATGGCGGTGGATGTCAGCGAAGTGTTTCGCATTGCCATGCCGAACAAAAACGAGACTGAGTACGGGGCCGACTACAAAACTGTGCTGGACGAGGCGCGCAAGGAAGTGCTGAACTCTGACTACTCCGACGCGCAGTGGAGCTTTACCACCTATAGCGTCAAAGGACCGGGAATACAACTACTATCAACCACGACAACACCAACAGCAACTGCCACAGGAACAAGGCCCGCCACTTCAGGGAAGAGCAAGAAAGAAGATGAAGGCGAGCTATATTCCTGCCAGGAGGTGGACAGAAACAAAATTTATTCGCTAAAAACGAGGCAAAGAGAGGGGGCGCAGAACTACTTGATGCCCAAAAGCACCCTGGCGCGGTATGCCATTCTCTCGCGGCTCCCCCCCTCCATGCACGACGCTTGCCAGCACTTTTTGGAAAACAAAGCCGACCAAGTCGAACGCATCAGGGCCGGCAAGGAAGAAGCAGATCTTCGTGAAGATGTGCTCTACTCGCGGGGGCCACCTCCGCCTCCGCCTGCTGCCAATACTACACGACCAGGTTTCCGAAGGGTGCAGCAAGTCGTCGCCGACTCGGATTCTGACCTGCTTCCTGAAGCAGAAGAGGAAGATCCTCTTCTGGACCACGACGAATATTTTTCCAGCGAAAGCAGCGGCACGAGCAGCACGGCCGGAGAACAACATCAGGAGCCTGATCTTGTTTATGTTTCCCCTCCAGCGGTGCCAGAAGAAGAGATCCGGCTATTCAGATCCGCGCACGACGAAAAATACATCAGAGCCGCGGGCGCCGTGGTGGAACAGCAGAAGCGCGCTACGCATTGCAAATAAGTCTTTAAGGTGTGTATGGTTCTACTCAGAAGTCGTCCTACCTGTGAAGTAGTGGGCGAACCGTTACAGTTGAATTTCTATGCATGATGTCGTGTCTATTCATCGACATTATCCGTTGTTGTAGTCGTGGTCGTGGTGGAGCATAGAGCTTTTAGTATTGGTTTTTCTCGATAAACCTAAGTGTTGGCCTAAGTGAATCCTAAGTAAAACCGAAGTAATCCCGAAGTCTTTTTCCGGACTCGTGGGCGACGCAGAACCGCGGGAAAGTGGACCTTAAGAGGGCTCCAGCGGAAAGGAAAATCCCGTGGAAGCAAAACAAGTTGGGGCGTATCGGCGCGGTGCAGGTACGTTCCGGCGCGCAAGATTATTGGGACCTGCTTAAAGGGAAAAAAATGACAAGCGGCGTCCTGTTTGGCCGCGCAAAGCAGGGAAAAATGCCGCCGGGACATAAAAAAAAAGCCGGGGCACGAAAAAACTCGCGAAACTAGCCAAAAAACAAAAGGCGTGCGCAGCGTGGAAGGTGCTCCGCGCGGCTTTGTGGGCGGCCGCCGGAGCTTGTGGGTGCGCCGCGCGCTGCCCCGCCGGTGCCCCCGGCGCTTCCCGCCTGGAAGCCATTCTGTGCCGCTTTTTTGTGTCGAAAATTAATAGCAAAAAAGGTCGCAAACTGAAGAAAAAAATTTGCAAACTGAGGAAAAAAGGTCGCAAACTGAAGAAGAAAAGCCGCAAAGTGAAGAAAAAAAGTCGCAAAGTGAAGAAAAAAAGTCGCAAACCGAAGAAAAAGGCGGGGGCGGAAGGGCGCAAGTTACGGGGGCGCCTGCCGGGCGGCCTCGACAAGAGCCCGCGGACGCCGCCGCCACCGGGCCCCGCCCCCGGGGGGCGCCGGGGCCTATTCATCGACATTATCCGTTGTTGTAGTCGTGGTCGTGGTGGAGCATAGAGCTTGTTAGAGCGCATCAGATCTTCTTCATCACGCCGATGTGCGAATCAGAACAAAGGAAGGCCTCGCTTTTCGTTGTCGCTGTTGCTCTTTCGCACAATCTTCATTATATGCAAAACAATTTATACACGAGGACTACTAACTTCTTGCAGCGGCGCATCTACATCACAGGACGAAAGGCGGGCATGCAAGACAGGCATTTTTACTTCATGATCCAAGTCCATAGCCATACATATTTGCAATGCATACCCGTCCGACTTTTGTTCAAGGAGGCCGATGCCTTGCTTCGGGATTTGTCCAATTTTGCTCAAGGGTGAACGTGGAGTCCCATTGGGGAAGCGGAAGTGGAAGCTGCAGACCCTGACGACCCAACACAAAAATGATATACAGTTGTAAACAAAAATATTAATCCCGCTCTCGTACCCCTTTGCATCAAGGCGGTAAGTACGCTACACCACTGCATTTTTATTCGGGAGCGCTATTAGAATGAACAATGAAACTACTGCGCTACGCTCAAATGATGAACTTTTGCGTTTTGTTGCTGATTTTCTAGAGAGCTTACAGGAGGAGCAGGAGCTAGGCTACTGTGTGAGTGCTCAGACCACCTTTGTTTTTGATGTCGCAGTGCACGCTGCTCCCCCCGGGGCAGGAGTTTGATGATGATGATGATGATGTTGCAAAACGGTGCATAATTCGGATGAATGAATAAGTTTTCAGAAAAATTAAGCTGCGCGAAGATAGAAGTTCGTTGTAGGACGATTCAGCACTTCTAAAAATTAACATTTGTGTACCATTTTAGGACTTTACCATTTTAGGAAGTAGCTCTTCATATTTTTGTGAGCATCATCTCTGCCGCCGCAAGGAACTCTCCGCGGTTTTTGGACGAATAAAAAAGATAGATTCCAAGGTCAAGAAATAAACGAGAAGCACTCAACGGAAAAAAAGTAAAAATGAAGTGTTAGACGAACGTGTCCGTTTACGACAAATTGAAATTAAAACAGAACTAGAAATCCCGTTCTAGAAGTACCTCAACCCTCTATGCTGAAGAGAAGATCCTGCCTCTATGCTGAACAACAAACCACTCGTCCGGAGGTCACATTCTCGTTGTAAAATGCAAGAGTAGAAAATCATGACACCACCTTCGCAGAAGCGAGACGAGGGCGAAGGGCCAAATCGAAGAACACAAGACCAAGAGGTAGTTGTGATTGGCAACCGATACTAGAAGAACAAGAAGCCTGTTCATCAATACAACAAGGCCCTCCATTTTTCTGGCTTCCTGTTGTTGTCAAACTAAGTTTGTTTTTGTGCATCTGGGTTCTACTGTCATCTACATCAATTATGTCGGTCCAGTAGAAAGAGAACAAGGTCCACTCAACTGTCCGTCCTCTCCAACGTGTGTTCACAAGCACTTGCGTGTTGAGCTGCCGTGGCCAACCTGCTACAGCTAAGCAGCTATACCGTACTCTAAATATTTCTCATCTCCACTGCAATAGAATTGAGTTCGTCATCTCCGAGTTGTTGGCAGTAGTACCTGTATGCTCTTGCTTCGAGCGGTCGATATTGTCAACCGTAGTTGTCAAGAACAAAATTATTTTGCTGCAACATGTTTTTCGGAGGACTCGTTTCCGTTGTGTATAATTTGTGTACTTAATAGCGTCGGTCGTCCATACTTCTAGTTGACCACTTTAGCAGGTCCCATTCCCAATCGTAAAAGATGACAACGAGGAGCAAAAATCCCATGTGTTCTGCGTGAAGAACAATCCCGTTACAGTCTGTGAATTATGCGTTGTGGCATTTTTGGGTGATTTTTATGAAGAACAAAACATATAGAAAATTCTAACCCACGACCATGCCGATTCACAACAAGTATCATGTGAGCAGTACCCTCCAAGTCGGACTGGTCGTCGTGCTGGCGAACAAGTAAGTGCCAGCACTCGTTACTTCTCGGTTAATATGTCTCCTGCTGCACAACACTACTAGGAAGACTGCGCAGCAAGACCAATCGTGCTCCCCACCACGTCGAGAGTCGTAGCTTGCGGGCTGGAACTGCTGGTACAGTCGTGCTTGTAGGCCGCTCATCTGAACGAGGAGAACAAGCCTGGTTGTTGTAGTTGTGGCAGCTCCTGGTGGTCCGCCACCAAGTTGTACGAACTTTGAGAACCAGGAGAACGAAGCACAGACTGGCAGTCGAGAAGAGCTATCGACGATGGGTGGGTGTATTTCCGACCTTGATGGCACCAACGAACGGCGGCGGTACCAGCGGCAGCAGAACCAACAGCAGGAGGTGATGCTGCTGCAGCCGGTGGTGGACCAAAATGGCAACGTGATTGGGCACAACCAAATTCCAGGCAGGATGACCCCCGACGGCCAGGTGGTGCCGCTGAGTGGCGGGGGGCAAATACCACAAATGCAGGTGAGCATATAGCACTTACACGTTGTAGTTTACTATTTAACACTACAGGCTCGTCTTTGACTTTGATTGCTCGTTGTAGAGGTTCTAGAGCGGTGATGTTCGCAACTCCTCTTCAGGAAGTTGCATTCGTAGTTTGTTTTTCTTGTGACGTGGTCATTGACTGTTGCCGCTAGATGAAAGAACGTGGGACGAGTAAAACATTTTTTTCTCTTTCTACAGTCGCAGCAAGTCCCCATGTCGTCGGCGGGTGGTCAACAACAGCACAGCAACATCAGCCCGCAAGGCCAGCCGATGCAGCAGCGTCCATCGGGGTACGGCAATATGCCAAACTACCAACAACCCTTTCCGCAAGGAGGGCACGCACCGCCTCCGTTGACCGGGCGGCAGAAGGCGCTGCTAATCGGGATCAATTACCGAGGCACGCGGGCAGAGTTGATATGGAATGCATAATATGTATCTAGGTCTGGAAAATTGCGAGATTTGTCATGCTGATCTGGTATGGCCTTTAAATCTGTATTGCGTAGGGCCATCGAAACAGCCTCTCTCGGTCTCGCCTGTCATGCAAAAACGCAGTTTCTCATGCGGAATACGAAGCACAGAAGCACGAAAAAACTTATCATGCTTGGCGGCGCATTACAGTGCATTTGTTCTTGACTGACTTGCATCACAAGTTTCCAGACCCAGACATGTTTGCAATCCATAGCTGAAGGGCTGCATCAACGACGTGCAGAATGTGTACCGGCTCCTTATCAAAAGGAAAACAAAACCCCCCTCCCCATATCAAAACGAAATTTCTGATGCTGGATTTGCGTACACCGATCAACCTTGTCTTGCAGTAGAGGACTGCAGGCCCAGACTAAGCCTGAGCGGGGAGGTTTTGGCCCAGGCGCTCAGCACGGCAAAAGCTTATGCTGTAGGCCCAACGGCATGACAATCCGCCGGCATAATGCGGGGGGCCTTCTGGGTTTGCTTTCTTGCAAGACAGACATGATTTGTGACCATAAACCAGCATCACAAATTTCCATCCAAAAGCGTGACTTTTCAGTATGGGAAGGGGGGATTCTTCCTCGCGATACTCCTCACCGAAACTTTCCGGTGGAAGACGGACCAAATCCGCGTTTTGACGGATGACGGCAGGGGCACCTTTGGCGAGCACCCCACGAATATCAACTGTAAAAATGTCTGGGTCTGGAAGAATTCATGTTTGTCATGCTTGTCTGGCATGACTCTTAAATCTGTCATGCACATTACCAAAGAGCCCCACTTTTCTGTCATGCAGAAACGTAGTTTGTCATGCAGAATAGGCAACACCTAGGAGCTCAGAAACTTGTCATGCTGAGCCAGCATTTGTAGCCTCATCATGAGACGCCACCCAGCATCACAAGTTTCCAGACCCAGACATTTTTGCATTTGATAACGAAGCGCAACATTCTCTCCGGGCTGCACTGGCTCACGCAGGACTGCAAGCCGGGGTATCCTGAGTAAAAACGTACCCACACCAGAGTTGTAATGCAAATTTGCAAAGACAGGAAGACTTGTAATGCGCATCCCCATGAGAGCCATTTCCAATCGTGTTTTGGAATTTGTGATGCTGTGAACACTACTCGTAGACCTGGACTCGATTTGTGTGAGCACCCGCTTTGACCTCCAGGCCTTTGATGTACCACGGTCAGGTACCCTGTACTCGGTCTCTGCGGGACCCCGTGTGGCTGTAGCCGTCCCTGCTTCACTGACCTAGGTCGTCTCTCGTGGTACTACTCGTACGTTGTACTTCGTAAAAATTCCCGCTAAGTTCCTCCATTTTCTTGATACTATGCCTTTGTTTCAACTGCAACCTTTTATTGGTTTTAGTAGGGCCTGATGCCACAAGGGACGAACTGCCCGTAGACCTCCGATGTGATGCTGTGAACAGGATGAGCAGATGAATCTGTGACGCGGCTGCACTTGCTAACCTGCACTACACTGCAGAGCGCAACTTGTCATGCGTGACTCACAAAACTCCTAAATTTGTGTTGCAAAATCCCCATCCTGACTCTGGTGTGGGTGCGTTTTTACTCAGGATACGGGGGACGTGCTGTTTCTGCTGTACAGCGGACACGGCGCGCAACAGGAGGACCCGCACGGCTACGAAGAAGACGGCATGAACGAAACGATCCTGCCCTGTGACTTCCAGCGGGCCGGCCAGATATGACACTGCACAACTCCCCCTGCTCCCCGTCATTTGTATTGCATGAACAGCAACACAAACAGCAGCACACGTGAAGCCAGTGCATGACAAAGTCATGCGCCGAGTGTAGTACAGTTTCGGCCGCTCCTTCCGGAGTCTGTCATGCATAAATAGTGACGCAAAGAAGCAATTGGATTTGGGATTTTGCATGAGAAATGAGACCGAGGGGGGGTTGTGCGCTCTCATACCAGATTTCCGACGACCAGATGGCGGACATCGTGGTGCGACCCCTGCTATGCATTTTTGCAAAAATATCCTACTTGTACTAGTATGGATCGCATGACAAATTTTCGCCAAAACAAAATAGTACGCAGTTTGTCATGTTGAATCAGGTAGAAAGTCTAGATTTGTCGTGCCAGACTGCAATCAATCTGTAGAGTCGTGCGATATTTTTGCAGTGGATAGCTTCCTGAGGGCGCCAGGTTGACCTGTTTGATGGACAGTTGTCATTCAGGCACTGGTATCAAATGTAAAAATGTCTGGGTCTGGAAGCATGCAACTTGTCATGCTAAATCTGAAGCATCCAAAAATTAACGCTGGACCAGGCGGTGTCAAATTGAATTCAAAACGAATTCAAAATGAATTCAAAAAGTGAGCACTTTTGAAATGAGCCACAATCCGCGATGCCCTGGGCTCTCAGCGGTTGCTGCCCCGGCAGCTTTTGGCGACCTGGTAGCGCCGCTGCCTCCTGGCTCATTGGCTCGGGGGACGGGCTCAACCCGAAGGGCTGCTCCGCGCCGTACTCTCAGTGTTGCTGAATGATGACCGAGGGCCAGAGCGATGCGCTCTGATTCACTTTCCGGCATACGCCCGCATCGCCTGTGAAGGGCGGCGGCGCTCTGTCGTGGCTTAAAATTTCGCGCCACTATTGTGTAGCGCCTGTCTGACACGGGTGGCGGTCTAGTCATTCCCGCGGCCGGCGCTATTGTTGGCTTTGGCACTTCAGGCAGGAACGCTACAACTGGCCCGCACGGGCGCAGAAGGGGGCTGCGCTTGTTTGCGGCGCTAATTTGGGATCGGCGCAACAATTCTAAAGTTCATCGGGGAGTGGATCTCAATTTCAAACTCCATCCGATCGACCGGCCCCAATTCAAACTCCATCCGGACGACCGGCCCCAATTCAAAACCCATCCGGACGATCGGCCCCAATTCAAACTCCATCGGGGCCATCGGGGCAAATTCAAAACTCATCCGAATTCTGTCGGAATTCCGTCCGAATTTTGTCCCCTACTTGGCTTCTTGATTCGGACGGATTCTGACAGAATTCGGATGGATTTTGAATTGGTGGGGGATGGGATTTTGTGGTCGGGCCACCAGAGTTGTGCCTCCACTCGACTTCACCTACCGAGACTAGCCTGGGCTATCTTGGGTGGCTGACCGCATTGGGAATGGCGGCCGGGGATGGCCTCGCCCCTGGCGGCATTTTGTCCACTAGCGTCACATGCAATATGCACAGGCTGACTCGCTTGAGCGCTCGCCGGGCCAAGCCGCGACCCCGACACCGACGCCAGCCATGCTCCTAACCGCATAAGCCGGCCCCCGACGCTTCCCGGCATTTTTCTGTGGCTGGGCAGGGTCTTCTCTCATTACACCGGCAGCACCCCCCTGGCGCCGAGCCGGGTTTCAAGGTTCGCAAGTTAAGGCATGATAACAAACTTCGGCCGCCGGTCGAACCAAAGCCCGTTCGCCCCATTTCCCGGAAGTTCCTTCGCGGGGTTGGATCCCGTTGCCGTTTCGCGCCTGGTCCGCTGGACCAAGCACAGGGCGCAGCGTTCGTGTGAAAGCGGCTACAGGCCGTTTTCTATAGCTGTCGCGCGCCGCATTTGTTTCGCCCGATTCGCCCCCTCGGAGGGGCGTTTTTTTGAAAATGCCAACTTTTTGAATTCAGTTTGAATTCCGTTTGAATCACGATTACACTCTGAGCGGTCTAGAGTTAACCAAAAATCTGTGTTGCGTGATTACCAAAAGTCGTCCAGTTTTGACCAAGTCGGGAGGGAGTTTCTCATGCAGGATAGGCATGAGAGAGATCGCACAGAATCTGTCGCGCTAGGTCCTGCATTCCAGACCTGATGGGTCATGGAAAAGCTGCATGACAAGTCGCGCATTCTTTCAGACCCAGGGACATTTTTGCATTTGATAACTGGGCTGGATCTGCCTTGGACCTGGACACCAGGAAGGGGTACGTCGGAATTAAGCCGAAGTTGTAGATGCAAGAGAAGTTTTTCTTTTTTCAGCATGGCTCTGTGCATGACAAGATCATTTGGAATCCATTTTGCCTAAGTGCTTGTGCTATAGCGATTCTCCCGGATGTTGAGAAACAAAAAACTCCAGGTTGGCGAGAGGATACAAACCCATTTCACTCCCGCGGCGATGTGCAGATGTTCTCGGGGTGCGAAGACTCGCAAACTAGCTCCGATGGTATCGCGTGGAAAAAACAGAGTGTAAGGACTACAACCCTGACCGCCCAGGTCGGTACTATTATTACTCACGAAAGCATTCTGGGATTGGGAAGCGCAGTTGTTCGGAATTGTAGGCGCTACGTTCTTCCGGAAGGCGCAAAAGTGTTTGTCTTGAGAAAAGGCGCACTTTGTTATTGTTCTTTTTTGTTTTATTTACGAACGAAGCGGATCTGAAAATTCACCCATCTTCTCCCGATCTTCATGCCTCTCTGGTGGAAAGCTCCGGCTGCAAGAGAAGCTGGATCATGTATTTGAAAACGCGACGGGGACGCAGGGATTGTAGTACAACATGATTGAAGTTTTTTCCACGCCACACCTTGCGGGAGCTACTACGGACAGCGGGCCGGCGCCATGACCACGGCGTTTTGCGAGACTATGCGGAATTTCTACTCGCGCGGGAACGCGCTGACCTACGATGAACTGTTGCGGGAGCTGCACCGGCAGATGCGGCAGCGCGGCTTTTCCCAACGGCCCCAGCTGACCAGCAGCCAAGCGTTTGGCATGGACCGCATGTTCATCTTGGACTCCGTGACCATGAACACCAACACAGTCTACGGCCGGGTGTTCCGGCGAAAATTCCCCCCCAGGCCCCGGCAAATGGACGGCCCCTTGGCGGACATGCTGGGCATCGGCGCGGGCGTGGTTGGCGGCCTGATTCTCGCGGACTTGCTGTTTTGATAGTGATGACGATCTTCGCGGGAGGAAATCAACACGGCGATACCCTAAACCCTAAATACGGCGTTCTTGCTGAAAAGGTTGGTGGTGTCGTAGTAGTACAGCAGGAAAATTTACTTTCAAATGTCAATTGTGATGCTTCAGATGATCGCCTCTCCTGTTGTACGGCCTCATGGTACTTATCAGCGCGAAGAATTTCAACATGTATGATTGCTTGATGAAGAAATCGAAATGGAGAACGGGGCAGCGTAATGTGTATTGTTTCGGAACTAGATCAACTAGAGAAGAGAAAGAAAACAAGGGAGTTCTTGTGAACCTGAAAAACCAAGTGATCCAATCACGTTGGCGAGGGATACTGTCTCCTGTGTGTTCGGTTTATTGAGACACTGCGGCGTGGAGATTTTGTATGGCCTTCATATTTGTGTCGGGCCGGGTGCTGTGACCCGAAACCGTGACACCAGAAAGCCCCAGACGCGCCAGGTGTGTCATGTTGCGCGCCCCGTCGCCGAAGTGGTCCGCATTGAGCAGCAAACAGGCACACAATAAAGCTCAGCACAGCCTCAGGCTGCCGGCGTGGAGTTGAGAAGGTTTTGCGCTTCATGTGTCTAATGATGCTCTGAGAGTGTTGAGAGATGAAAGGGCGAGCCTTTTTATTTCACTCGGAACAGCAAATCTCACGAGCGAAAGCCGTCTTCTCGCGGTTTTAACTATGTGGAAAAACAAGCACGCACAGTTTCTCGTTTGAAAATGTGTCTAGGAGAAGAAGTGCGAGCGAAAACGGAATACAATAGCACAGTTGTCAAGGTCGTTTTTACATCACAGGACTTCTAAAAGTCATGGAACAATTCGGTGGGTCCTCCGGCTCCAGGGCGACAACAAAGAAAACCGTGACCCTCGGCACCAGCAGCCACAAGAGCCCCATATTCTCAAATGCCTCCTCGCAGCAATCATCCGCGAGAGGTGGACCACCACAACTACACCACGCCCACTTTCCTGCCGGCGGTACTACGACAGCCGCGTCTTCTAACACCAGCAGCGCTCGAGGTGGTGGAATGAAGATGAGCAGTAATTTCCCCCCCTCTTCGTCTTCCTCCCACCAGCACCATGACAACAACACCACCAACCACTCCCACTCCTCCACCCGTCCCGCGCTGTTCACCGCCACCGTCTCCCGGAAGCGCGCGGAACAGGATGCGGTCTTGTTGCAGAACCGGATCCAGCTGCTAAGATTGGAGGAGGAGAAAGCGATTCAAAAGACGAAGGAAACCGAGAAAAAGGCGGTGGACATTCTGAACCTGCGGCTGCGGAACCAGATATGACGGTGCACAACCCCCCCTGCTGCTCCCCCTCATTTGTCATGCAAAATAAGTACTTAATCCGCCCTTTGCCTGTTACCACTGCTTGCATGACAAGTTATGCTAGCCCAAATAGCACTATACTCTAGTGCAAATTTGTCATGTAAAACCGGCATCGTTGCTGGTGCTTGTATTGCCGTTCATGCAATACAAATGAGGGGGAGGGGGAGTTGTGCATTGTTATACCAGAAACGGTTGGACGAGAAGAACGAAATCGAGACTGAGGAACGGATATGCACTGCAAACAATGTATTGGTCTGGAAAGTTGTGATGCTAATGTTGGAATGATGCGAAACCTGTATTACGGGGCCGCGCATGACAAGTTTCTGAGCCAGCGGCTATGTCTAGCGCCAACCGCATGACAAAGCGCCTTTTTGCATGACAACGAAGTGGCACTGTAGCACAACAAGCATGGCAGACTTTTCAAACTTGTCGGCCAAGCATCACAAACTTGCATTCTTCCAGACCGCCCAGACATATTTGCAGTGGATAACGAAAGACGAAGGAATACCAGAAGTCGCTCGTGCAAAAACGGAAGGAGGAGAACGTGAAAAATAATAGCAAAGCGGTCGGGCAGGATCTGCAGCGCAAGAAGCAGGACTACTTACGATCCGTGGAAGAACGGAAACGAGCGGAGCTTGTGCGAAAGCAGGACGCGGAACAGTACAGACTGGAAGCGGAGGAGACGCGACAGAGAGTCAGGAGGGAGCGGTAGGAAGATGTTGCTAGATTCTTTTGCGGCTGTGTACCTTCAATGTGCATGACAAAGATCTCACTGATCCAACAGCATGAAGATGATGATGATGATGATAAAGTGCAATACAAATCCACAGAAGAACTACACTTTCAGGTTGATGAGCCAAACGAGACAGCAGCAGGCTTTGGACGCGAAGAAGGGCATTGGCGCTATGGAATGCCATGAAATTGCCAATGATCTTCCACCGTCTGAAATTATTGAAGATGTTTGGCATAGTACATGAGTCGATGTCAATCGCACCTCCAGCCATAAAGATCAATGATGACAAGTTTATTTCGGTTCTTGCGCTCTGTACTGGGAGACCCACTCGCGATCGCCATTCATCCTCGCTTCAAGCATGATAATGCCGCATCTTCAGGAAAAGTTCAGTCGCGTGAGCATCACTGGCATAGAAATTTTTACGGCCGATAAGCTCGAAGATCTTTCAAGAAAAACTCGAACGTGAATTGGAAATGAAAAAACAGAAAGAGGACTTGATTCGAGGTACTTTTTACTCTGATGCTTTATTTTCATGTGTGAATGATACATGTAAAGCAGAACAACAACAATCTTTGTCATGCGTTGCATCAAATCCCATGTCAATTGTGTGGCAGCTGTGTAGCTGCTACACGCGATCTTCAGCAAAAGGCACCCAAGAAGCGAAATTCTTGACGATCGCAACAACAACAACAAAAAAATCCGCACCGCTTTTTCGTCCTGCCGGGATTTTTGGTCGGCTCGGTCGTTCCTGCTAGAAACAACATGATCAGAGATATAGATCATGCCAAGAACATCTTCCCCCACTAATCGTGATCGAGGACGAGGAGATCTGATCAGTAAAATCGGTTCGTCGAGGAGATGCAGCTCTTCCTACTTCGCCTTCCAAGGATGCTGTTGACCACGCCGGAAAAGTACTAGTAGAGCGAGGTTGCTTTTCTTCTTCACGACTACCAAGGACGGCGAAAAGTTGCACGTACGACCTGCCAGGAAAGAACCGCAACACTCCACTCAGGAAGCGCCATCAGGACGAGCGGTCGTGATCACGGGAAAAAGAGGCCGCTTCAGGAATCCCATCAACCCTCCAGCAACATCTTCACAACCTCAGGAACATCAAAAGGACAACTCAAACTCAGGAATTATGTGGAAGCACGACAGGCAGCGGGACGACCATGCAGATATATATTCACCAGGATCAGAAATGCAGCCTGCTCCGTTGTGCATCCACATCTTGCTACGTACGACCTACTCGGGATGAAACGTTGCGAACCCGAACGGGCGACCTTGATACAAATAGTGGCCGCGTGACCAAAAGTGATCACAATCCTCGTCCACGAAAATTAATAACGAGGAGATCTTCACATTGATTATTGCACGAAGATGATTTATTTTGTTCGGTTCGTATGAAACAAAAGCAAAACAGCACCACGACTCAAATGAAAATTTACAGCGATGGAGCGCGAAGAGCTTTCCCTGATCAAGAAGTTGCAGGAGACCCAACAGCGACAGCAGGCTGCGTACGAAGTTCTGGAGGACATCGTGAGCCAGCCACAGTCACGGATGAGCTCTTCTCGGTCGGATTTCAAGACAGATCGCGGGGGATCTGGTGACCATGGAGGAGGTTCTTCAACGGGCGTGAACGTGAAGCCTCAACATAGCGGCTTGACTTCCAAACCTGGCGGCGAAAGTTACACGCGGTCCAGCAGCAAGGGCGTGGTCGAGCAGGAGATTCTGGACAAACTCAGTAAGATCCGGTCGCAGAGCAGCAGTCACTCCATCGCCGAAGAAAGCGGGTTTGAGGCGGCAACGCCCATGATGCAGCTAGGCGGGGCAGCCACAGACAACTACAACCTGCTGTCGGGGCAGACCCCGAATTTCTCCGACGCAGGGGACTATTACAACAGGTATTTTAGCTGTGGTTTGAGCGACGTTTTCTTTTTTGTGAGAGATGTTGAGAGGAGAACAAGGAGAGGATTCCGATTTTTGAAAGATAGTTTTCATCGATTCAGAGTCTCTCGGTAGATGCATGATTCTGGCACTGACGTTATCAAGAGCAGTCATAAGTGACACGATCGAGGAAGGACGTCGGTTTGGAACCACTACATAAAAAGTAATTGCAGTGCTTAACAAGAATAGCACTGAGAGTGATTGAAGATTCGGATTCCTTTTCACAATATATCACGAGAACCCCCATCAAACTTCTCTCACAGTTACACACCTCCTTCTGGCAACATCAACCTCCTCGACCCCGGCGCGGGTAACGCTGCTGCTGCTGCTGAGACGCGAAAAACACCAGCGGATCTTCACGCTGCAAGAAAGCTGGAATTGCCGCTGCCGAAACACCCGGAAATTGTGACGAATCCAACAACATCGGTCAATGACTCGGAGGCCAGTAGTTCTCAAAACATCAACTCTGCAATTCTAGGACAAGATCAGAGTGTGACAGACGTACAACTAGAGGAGGGAACGAGAAACAACAAGATAAAAAGTCGGTTTGATGAAACCTTTTCGGACAACGACGTTGCTGATGCTGATGACGTTGGCCATGGCCAGTTGTTTGGTCTAGAGGAGGGCGAGCAGGAGAAGATGACTTACCTCACGTCCGACGGCCAAAGGATCCAGATTGACACTGGCCCGGAGCTGCTGGACACGGGTCTGGAAGGATTAGAGGAGGACTTGCAACTGGCCATGGACTTGAACCACAAGTGACTGTGACCACATATTGCAGCACGACCCCATAATGCCGTCTGTGGTCACTCGCTCGTGCTGCCGAAGGAAGTTGTATTTGGAAGGACCAAAACCGCCGCTGGGCGGCTCATCTTCATCTTCACGTGCTCGAGCCTACTTCGCCGTCGATGTAGTAAAAAACTGTCTGTGAGTTGCTGGATTTCCAAACCTAATGAGAGAGCGAGTAGAGCAGGTATCTTCGTCGAGAAGAATGTCACAAATTCAAGCAAGTGTCGATGACAAATCTGTTGTATGTGGTTTCAAAGTTTCACAGAGGACAATATTGATTCATCTATATTTCACAGTTTCTCTCGTATACAGTAAATCGGTTTTTCACCGTCCTGCCCTAGTTCTCGCCGCGAGAATGCCTCAGTAAGTCGCGAGAAAGCTCAGTAGTGCTAGAGCTAGACGCCTTGTGTAGATGCTCGGCAAGAAGCAACTACAAAGGGACTGGGTCGCACTATTAGGCTAGGAAAGGACGAAAAGCGAAGCGAAAGATAGTGCCTAGATTGTTGCAAGATTCGAGGACCGCGCCGGATTACAGCGCAACCCGTCGAATTTGCTGACAGCAGGACTACGCCCAAAGACTGGGAAAAGCTTACGCAGACAAAGAAGAACAAGGAGCAGAGCAAGGGCCGTAGATATGTTTTTGTAGTAGAGGCATGAAAACATATGGCCACCAGCACCGGAAGCAGACCAGACCAGCAAGGCAGCAAGCACCACCGCGGAAACCGGCGAAGAAGACGAAGAAAGAGGCCCAGCAGTAGTGCTAGGCGCTTGCCATCGGGCAGGCGGGAACGAAGACGACGCAGCAAAAGGAGAAATCGCCAGTAGAAGGAGTGCGCGCTCGGGATCGAGGCGTAGGCGAAAGGAGTAGTAAGAGGGCGAGAGCTCCGCAGCAGTTGCGGACAACGAGCAGGCAAACGAAGAAGGACGCTCGGGGAAGAAAAGTTGAGTTGTGTTATCAGGATGTAGATGTAGACTTAGATGTAGGCGAGACTAGCTGTGAAATTAGAACTTCAATTAGACAGACTGAATATATCATGCTAGAAGTCAGACTATATTTTTTTAGGATAGGTCTCTCACTCTCTCTCAGTAATGCTAGCTGGACCACTATGACGAAGGAATACACATCGCGCCAACGTAGATAGAGATACTCCACTCATGGAGTTATAGAATTTAGTGGCCTTGTGTTCTCTCGAGTACGATCCAACGACCACTGCAAAACAGGATTGGGACTATTTCCCAACACTAGTTCTCGCCGCGAGAATGCCTCAGTAAGTCGCTCCGTCACGAGAATGCCTTGTCAACAGGCAGCACCGTTTTTTTGTGCCCTGAACGCATTCGCCCCTCGTTTTCTCTAGAACAGGCCCCCTGTTCCAAACATCTTATTCAGGAAGTCGGGGCTTCTCGAGATTTCCTTCAGAAGGGGACATCCCTTCTTCTGGGCTTTCCGCGTGATTTCCTTTGGGAATTCCCTTCTCCTGGGTTTTTCGCATGACTTCCTTTGCGAAATCCCTTCTCCATCTCCTGGGCTTTCCACATGATTTCCTTTGGGCAATCCCCTTTGCTGGGCTTTCCGCGTGATTTCTTTTGGGAAATCCCTTCTCCTGGGCTTTCCGCGTGATTTTCTTTGGGACATCCCTTTTCCTGGGCTTTCCGCATTATTTCCTTTGGGAAATCGCTTCGTCCAGGTTTTCCGCATGATTTCTTTTAGGAAATCGCTCGCCCCTGGGCTTTCCGCGTTTCTTTATAGGAAATCTCTTCCTTAGGAGCCGGCCGCTGATCTCCGCGTTAGCACGTAGTGGAGGCAAGCTCCTTCTGATCTTCACTGCGAAACAGAGCGGAGACGAGCTCGGTGGCTAAGGTTTGGGTGGGATAGGGTCTGTGATAAGTATCGGGGTTTCTCCTTTGATATGGATCAGAGGGTCCGCGATGTCGGACTTTTCTCCTTTGATATGGATCAGACGACTTTTCTCCTTTGATATGGATCAAAGGAGAAAAGTCCGGACTTTTCTCCTTGCAAAGGAGAAAAGTCCGCTGGATTGATACCAGAGCGAGCAGCTCCTGGTCCAAGTCCTTCTGTTTTTTTTTTTGATTGGACAGTTGCCATTCGGGCACTGGGCTGGATCTGCCTTGGACCTGGACACCAGGAAGGGGTACGTCTGCATTAAGCCGAAGCTGTAGATGCAAGAGCAGAAGTTTTTCTTTTTTCAGCATGGCTCTGTGCATGACAAGATCATTTGGTATCCATTTTACCTAAGTGCCGTCCTGCCCTAGTTCTCGCCGCGAGAATGCCTTGTCAACAAGTCACGTTGCAAACCCGGTTGACAAGGGCCGCAATATCATCCATTAATGTGAGCGGTTCAGTTTTCAAATTATAACGAGATGAGCGAACAGGAGTTCTCTCGCAGCAACATTGCAGCTCGCAAAAATCTGTCTGATTCTTGTTCTCGGCGGCATGTAACCAAGGCATCTCGTTGTCGTTCTCGGTCGTTTTTGCGCTTCATAGAGTATCACCCCCACGAGAGAAACGAGAGCGTCAAATCTTTTAGCGCCAAATCACGTAAAAACTGTTGCCGTTATGCATGGAAGTGAGAGCAGCAATATTGCGAAACATGCACGAGCGAAGATCGCGCAAATCGTTTTTGCAAACTCGCTTTTACATTGGCGGTCTACTAGCATGGTGTTGGACAGCAATTGCTACTTGATATGATAAGTGTACCATTTCTTCCGCTGCGTCCTTCCAAGAGCAAATTATTCCTATTCAGCAAATGCGAAGACTCCAGGGACGAAAAAGAATAGGAGTGAATCGCACAGGGACAATCTAAGGCTTAGAGTCGAACAGATTCAAATCATCAAGTGTCGTGACCTCTTCAGCAAACACGCTAAATTCATATCAGAATGTCAATTTCTAGTTCGAGCGAACTTCTTCGACTTCATTGGAAAACCAACACAGCAGCAGTTTTTTTCTTTCGTCCCCTGTGGCAGTTCGATTTCGTGTCGTTCTGCCGCGTTAGAAAGGATTCAAGACTCGACTTCGTCGACTAAAGTTTTCAACTCCTTGCACAGACGAGGAGGAGAACTATCTACTTACAACAACTCGAGCTGTTCTTCAGAATTATCCTTGAGCTTATTCTCCTAATTTTGATTGTTTTGTCTACGAACGAACTTGTGCTCGTGCTCTACTTTGTGACTATCATACAATTTTTATCCTGAGTAAAAACGTACCCACACCAGAGTCAGGATGAGGATTTTGCAACACAAACCTAGGAGTTTTGTGAGTCACGCATGACAAGTTTCACTATGCAGTGTGGTGCAGGTTAGCAAGTGCAGCCGCATCACAGATTCATCTGCTCATCCTGTTCACAGCATCACAAATTCCAAAACACAATTGGGAATGGCTCTCATGGGGATGCGCGTTACAAGTCTTCCTGTCTTTGCAAATCTGCATTACAACTCTGGTGTGGGTACGTTTTTACTCAGGATAATTTTACCACCTACAGAAGACGACGCCTTCGTCTTGCTTGAAGGGGATTGCTTTCTGAGTTTTCTCTTCCTGCTCGACGAGGCGATTCTTTTCTCTTCTTTCCTTTTCCGAAAGTTTCTGTTTGATACCAGCTATTGCTGCTTCTGTTTCCTCACTTGATTACTGAAATTGACTTCTACCCTGAAGAACCTGATTTTTAAACATAAAGATTTTGCAAAAATCATAAACAAAATGTTGAGTAAACTTTCCACTCGAGCTATTTTTGGCGCTGTTTATCTCTTGACAGCGCAACATCAAACGACCCTCTTCCAAGGAGCGCATGCGTTGTCCACGCAAATTGAGTTGCGGCCGACGAACCGCGAGCGCTCGCAGGCAACCGTTTCCGTTGTGCAGCGGGCGCAGAAGGGACGCGCAACGCCGCAGGAGATTGAGATGATGAACCAAGACAACATGATGTTCTACGGCGACATCGAGATTGGGACTCCGCCGCAAAACTTCACTGTCGTCTTCGACACGGGCAGCAACGATTTGTGGGTACAGAAAAATAGATTTCTCATGCGTGTCGTACAGTACCGTTTACATCTTTGAGTTTGAGAACAATGTCTTTACCTGAGAATAACGTATCAGGATGAAGGAGGAACAACCAATTGTACTCGACTACTCTTGGTGGGCATGTTGATGTATACATAGCGAAAAAAAAATGATTTAAAGGTTCCCGGCAAGCTCTGTCCGGATGCGTGCTGCAAGAACCACAAGGCTTTTGCGCCCTGGAAATCGATATCAAATGTAAAAGTGTCTGGGTCTGGAAGATTCTAAACTTGTATGTAGTGAGGTCACCGAACGGTTCTAACCAGGGAGTTTTTTTGACACCTCCCGTGAAAAACGACCGGCAGTCTTCAAGCGGCCGGAAGTGTTTTTGAGCATAAAAAGTTTTCACTTATCGAGCGGCCGGGGCGTTTGCGGCAAACAAGCCCGGTCGAAAACTATCGATTCGCACTTGATAAAACGACGCAGGGGAGCCGGCAAAAGGGGCGCCCTTCTGAGGCGCCCGCCGCCTTAGTTTCTGGCGATTTGGGGCGCCCAAAAAAGGGCGCGCAAAAAACGCGCCCAAAATCAGAACAGCGAAACAGCTTGGCACGGCCGCGATTTCGGAGCATTTTGGGCGGCCGCGAAAGCGGCCGCCTTTTCGCCGGTTTTAGAGCCTGGGAAGCTTTGCAAAAAGCGCCGGCGTGAAAAATAAAAACGCGAAAAATAAAAAGCGCGCCAGACGCGCAAAGCCAATCCGCATGCTATGGGCCCGGTTTTTCTTCGCTTTCTGGGCGGCCCCCGTGGCACCCGGATCGGCCCCATAGCATCGGGGCTGGCTTTCGGAAAGTAATTTTGGAAATGTGCCAAAATTTGCAACGTTTCCCAAGTGGCCATCATACCGTGCGGCATAACGTTACTCACGGAGGTATGACGAACCCATAAAAAGCAAAGCCGCGGCCAAGGCTGCGGTCGGCAAAAAAACGCCCACGACCTCACTACCCCCGCCCCAGCGGCTATATTTGGTAATGCTGTCTCTGGATTCTAAAAAAGTCTGTATTGCATGACCAGCAAAAGGACTCCAGTTTGTGCTACGTGGAGAGGGCATTTCTCATGCGGTAGAGGCACCATCACAAAGTCCGCTAGAAATCTGTGATGCTAGGGCATGCATCACAGACATCATGGGTCATTCAAAATATGCATGACAAGCCTGGCAATCTTCCAGACCCAGACACTTTTGCAGTTGATAATCGAAGACTTTTCGCACGACCGGCACCCGCCACGATCTGTTCTACGGCACGGGCGCCGTCCGCGCGCAGTTATCAAATGTAAAAATGTCTGGGTCTGGAAGAATGCGCGATTTGTCATGCAGCTTTTCCATGACCCATGAGGTCTGGAATGCAGGACCTAGCATGACAGATTCTGTGCGATCCTTCTCATGCCTATCCTGCATGAGAAACTGCCTCCCGACTTGGTCAAAACTGGACGACTTTTGGTAATCCTGCAACGCAGATTTTTGCATGCTTCAGATTTACTTAGCATGACAAGTTGCACTCTTCCAGACCCAGACATTTTTACACTTGATAGCAGTGGGGAACCGACCACGTGAAGCTGGGCGACATCGAGGTGCCCTGGCAGGGCGTGGGCGTGACGCTGCGGGAAACGGATTTTCCCTTCAAGGAATCTCCGATGGGTATCCTGAGTAAAAATGTCCCCGCCCCATACTCAGGCTGGGAAATCTGCTAGACAAATCTCCCAGCTTTGTTTGTTGCGCATGACAGACTTGGCCGTGTAGTGTAGTCCTATTTGGCTAGTTCAACAGCATCACAGATCTAGCCTGTTATGCTGCTTGGAGCATCACAAATTCCGAAACACGGCTCGAGAATGCTTCTTATGGGGCTCCGCATGAGAAATATTTGCAGCTGCATGCAGACTTGCATTACAACTATGGGGAGGTGGGGACGTTTTTGCATGGGATAATGGACGGGATTCTCGGGCTGGGATTGGATATGAATCACTACCTATGCATTGCAAATAAGTATCGTACTCGTATAAATGCATTACAAATTTTCTCAGCCTGAGAAACAGATAAATTTGTAATGCGGATTTGACTTGACAAAAAGATTTGTAATGCATGACTGCAAAATACGAATACGATGCTTTTGTACAGGATACTACCAGAACAAACGGAATTTCCACCGCCCGGTGCTGGACAACATGCTGGATAAAAAGTTGATCGAGCACAACCAGTACGGCTTTTATTTCAGCGGGGACCCGACCAAGCCCGGCTACATGACGATTGGGAAGGTAAATAAACAGGTTTTGTTTTATTTCTCACAGGTTGTACATCAACACCCATTCCCATCCTGATCCTTCGATCGCGGGGGAAGATGCAGAAGTGTGCATGTTCTTACATTTATCACTGAGCCAGACATGCATCATTGATTGTTGCTGTGCCCTTGCATGTTGGTCTTCGTCATCTTGATGGTTCGGCATCGGAAATAACGCACCAAGCCATCACAATCTCCACTTCCCGTTTATTATCAGGTCGATCCCGACAAGATCCTCGGCGGTGACAAGGGCGCCACTAAGATGCAGTGGTCGCCGGTGACCATGAAATCTCGTTGGACCATCGATCTCGTCGACGTGAAGGCACATGACAGTCCCTTCGGGTTTATGCATTGCAAATATGTGTGGGTCTCGAAGGATGGGAACTTGTGATGCATGTTGCGGATCGTACAAAAATTTGTGTTGCGTGACTTGCAAGAGGTGCCCATGCTAGAGGGCATTTCTCATGCAGAGCAGGCATCGATCACCAAGGGGCTGCAGATCCTGTGATGCTACAACCTGCATTCCAGGCCGCTTGGTGGAGCTTGGATAAACTGCATGACAAATCTCGGGATCTTCCAGAGGACCAAGACATATTTGCATTTGATAGGGTTCTGCCCGAAGAAGGGGTGCACCGCGCTGATTGACACGGGTACCAGCTTGATCACCGCTCCGGAATCGTATCACATGCAAATATGTCTGGGTCTGGAAAGTTGTGATGCTAATGTCCGAATGATGCGCAGCCTGTATTCGGGGGCCGCGCATGACAAGTTTCTGAGCGGCTATGTCTAGCGTGAGCCGCATGACAAATGGCCCTTGTGCATGACAAACAAGTGGCACCATAGCGCGCCAAGCATGACAGACTTTTCTGTCTTGTCGGCCAAGCATGACAGACTTGCATTCTTCCAGACCCAGACATATTTGCATTTCATAAATCGAATGTGAAGGACATGATCAGTGTGCTCGGCGTGGAAGACGACTGTAACGGATTCAACAACTTGAAACCTCTGACCTTCATTTTATGAATTGCAAAAGTATCGTGCTCGTATAAATGCATTACAAATTTCCTCAGCATGAAAAATAAGATTTGTAATGCTGATTTACCTTAGCAAAAAGATTTGTAATGCGTGATTGCAAGATCACGAGTACGATACTTTTGCACAGGATACATTTTCCGGGATGACAAGGGAGAGAACTACGAGCTGGACCTGACCCCGAAAGAATACATGATGGAAGAGTTTTATGCAAGAAAAAAACTGTGTAAGTGTAAATCTGTGATGCAGAACATGCAACAAAGTTACACCTGTCATGCCAGACAGCCGCGCAGTCCTCTGCTCATGTGTGTTTTCCCTTACAAACCACGCATGACATCATGTAGACAGAGCAAATTTGTGATGCTGTCACCAGCCGAAGATAGTTACACTAACGCAGTTTTTTTCTTGGATAAGTTCGATCACAAAGGGAAGCGGACCAACTGCGCCCTCGGGATTATGCCCGCGGACATGGAATTCGGGTAGTACTATGAGGAGTGTAGTTTTTTGTCATGATGTCATTATTTCAAGCCTGTTTTCAAGCAAATCTTCTATATTCGTATCTTGAAGAAATCCTATCCACATACTATCACGGTGTCATCTACTTCAGAACTCTCCGAAGCCTAAACCCTAAACCACACTATACATAAGGTACGAAGAGCCCAAGACGCAGATGGGAAAGCCGGCCTGGATCTTGGGCGACGTCTTCATTCGCGCCTTTTTCACCGTCTTCGATCGCGACGGTCTGCAGGTCGGCTTTGCCAAAGCGAACCATGAAACCGATTTTGCAAAGAAGAAAGTCGTGGAGAAGAAGGTCGGCGGGAGCGACCACTCTGGTGCTTCTTCCAAAGGCCGCAACTTCCTGGCGAACGCCTCTGGTGCGTCGAGAATGAACACTGCTGGTCTCCCGCCGGTCGTCAACTATGTGACGGAGGTGCGCGAGATGAAGAACGACCCTGCGCAGAAGTCTTCTACTACGGGAGCTACTACTTCCAAGACGCAACCGACCGCCGCGCACACCAGTACTTCTTCTGCCCAGCAGAAGAGTGCCGCTTCTGATTCGATGACGGTCCGGGATGTTGTGAAGTCCGTGGTTTCGCACACTCATGTTGATCAGCAGGGGTTTTTGGCCAAGAAGAAAAATCGCATCTCCTTCACAAACGCGGCTGCTGCACCTGGTCATCAAGAACAAGGACAACAACATGCCTTCATGGAGAAGGAGCAAGAAAAATACGCCGACAATCTTCTCCAATCCGTGAAGTCAAAGGAGTTTTTGCAAAGCGAGAACCAGTTCGTGTCGAAAAAGGAAGAGGAGAAACTGGCGGCGAGCATCTACGACATTTTGGCAAAGGACGAAGAGTATCCTGTGCAAAAGTATCGTACTCGTACGTAGTAATCTTCGCAGTCATGCATTACAAATCTTTTTCTTGAGGCAAATCCGCATTACAGATTCCATTTCTAATGCTACGGAAATTTGTATTGCGATTACTATACATTATATTCATGCGAAAAAAGAGGTAGACAGAGGGTCCCAGAGAGGTGGCCGAGAGGTAAAAAAGAGGTCGACAGAGGTAGAAAAGAGGTCGACAGAGGTGGAGAGGTGGCGCGGGACCCCGTTCGAGAGGGTCCGCGAGAGGGTGCGCGAATAAGGCCCGCAGTAAGCGCCCACCCTTAGGCGCCGCCTAAGTGGCACAGAGGGTGCAGAGAGGTCAAAAAGAGGG